CTCACTCACTCACTTACTCACTCCATGTTCGCTCACTCACTCTCTCCATGCTCACTCACTCTCTGCATGCTCACTCACTCACTCTCTCTCTCACTCACTCACTCACTCACACACACACACACACAAACACATGATACACACACACACACACACACACACACACACACACACACACACACACACACACACACACACACACACACACAAGGACACAGCTGTGTAGAGCTGCTGTGCGTTTTCTTTGAGGTTTTTGTGCTTGGCTTTTTTTGGCGGGTTTTTTCTGCTGTTAAAGCTTTGGTATTTTTGGCAGACTTTTCTGTTTTTATTTGGCGTCTTTTTCCGACCTTAGAGAGAGAGAGAGAGAGAGAGAGAGAGAGAGAGAGAGAGAGAGAGAGAGAGAGAGAGAGAGAGAGAGAGAGAGAGAGAGAGAGGTGACGTATCGCTACACACTGACACAGACGGATGGAGTGACGGGCAGCCTCGGTTTGAATTACAGTTTGTACTTGGAAACTTTAGTTTGTCGTTGTTGTTGTTGTTGCTGTTGTTGTTGTTGATGCTGTTGTTGTTGTTGTTGTTGTTGTTGTTGTTGTTGTTGTTGTTTTTGTTGTTGTTGTTATTGAAGTTGTTGTTTTTGGTTGTGTTGTTGTTCTTGTTGTTTTTGTTGTTGTGTGTGTGTGGTAGCCTATCTGTTCGAAATGTCTGGAGCCCCGAAGAGCGGGCTCTGCGCCAGGGCCACCGCCTCTCTTTGTTGTTGTTCTTCTTCTTTTAGTTGATTTGTTGAGAGATAATGACGGTTTATGTGACAAACAGTTGACATTTTAAAACAAATATTTATCATAATTGTTGTACAGAGTACAAGGATCAAAACGTAATTCGTTTTGTCTCTGTCGTTTCTGCTTTATCTTTGTGCGTCACAATGTGGGCAGAGCCGGGTACAGTCTCCAAACAGAAAGATGGATGCTAATTTTTACTTTCACTTTTTCATCCTCTGTTGTCGTTAAGCGTCGAGGGAAGATGCAGTTGTCTATGGCAGGCCAGCTCCGCAGCTGTTTCATTCTGGGATATAATAATTTCCCAGGTTTCTTTGACGTCATAAATCCATCTTTTGTGTAGCCTTCCTCTTCCTTTATAAATAGCCTGAGTGCTTGGTGTTATAGACTCTGGACGCTGGCTGGCTAGGTGAAATAACGAACAGGCGGCTAAACCATTTTTATTCTCTGTTTTAATACGAAATGCAGGGCAGACCTCAATGCCAGTAGCCGCTCTTACTTATTTTCATTTTGCTGCCTCTCTCGTCTTGTGATGTTAAAGGTTTTGCGGATATATTCAATAAAATACCCCCCACCTCTATCCTTTCCCCACCCTATCTCCACCCCCCCCCTTTTTTTTTTACACTTGTGTGTAGGGCGCCACTGGTAAGTCCTATTTTTTTACCTTCTGATTGCTTTTCCCCCGAAACTAGATCAGAATAGTACAGAATTGCTTCTTGTCTTCCTTGCTTTCTCGATCTTATAATACGTATACAGTTAAACTTGCTATTATCTCCACCCCCCCCCTTTTTTTTTTACACTCACATACACGCAACTTTATTCTTTTCCATTCCCCACCCCACCTTTTCTCCCAAACTTTTCATTTTGCCTCACACAAAAACGCCTGAAAGTCCACTTTCTTAATTATCTAATTGTGAGGCAGCGTGGTGGAATCAGGCTCTCGTCAATTTTTGGGCATGTAGAGTTATTGGTATCATCTTAAGGCTTGTTCATTTGTCTTTATTTTGGTTAAAAAATATATCCATTTATCTTGAATACAAGTCGAGATATTTGCGAATGAAGGTGTGGGGGTCACCTGTTTTCAGAGGTAAGATTAATGAGAAAATGGCCGCCAAAGATTAGTTATTTCCTTAGCTTTAGAGTCCGCTGTAACTGAAAATTTATATTTTTTGTGCCTTTAATCAACATTTTTCAGAAAAATCCACACAGAAATGAGTTTTTTAATGGGCATGACAGGTGTTGAGCCACAAAACAAAACTTTGAAAAAAAATTCACTAACCTGTGGAAAAATGCAAGTTTTTTCACTTTGATTATTTTGACGAAAGCCTGATTCCACCACGCTGCCTCACAAATTGAGTGGATATGGACGAAAAAACATCCACATTTAAAATGACACCTCCTTACTCTCCCATTCACCATATGTTTTTCTGAACCTCCTGTCCTCAGACCGCCCCCACGCCCACACATCTTGACGTCATGAAAACCGCCGTGCTGCTCGTCTGCCTTGCTTACGTCATGGCCGCCATCTTGAGTCTGTGTGCCAGTGCCCCCTCGTGGAGACCCCAGGGCCGCTTCGGCAAGAGAACCATCCCAGACAGACTGCCCCAGACAGGTGAGACACGCTGTAAAAGTAGATCTTGTAATTTTTAGAATAGATGAGACGGTGCTAAATTAGGCCGTTTAATTTTTTCTAAAGGTGAGATACGACGAAAAACTAGGTCTTTTTGTCTTTTTTGACCAGGTGAGACGTCGCTAAACTAGGTCATTTGATTTTTAAGCAGGTGGAACAGTATCACACTTGGTCATTTCAGATAGAGGTGAGAGCAGCGTAAAACTAGGTCATTTCAATCATGTGAGAGACGGTTCAAAACTAGGCTATTTCAAACAGATGACAGACTGTGGAAAATAGGTCATTTCCAACAGCTCAGGAACGGTGCATAACTAGGTCATTTTCTGCTTTTCGTGGTGAAATCAGGTGCTCGTTACAATAATCAGATTTAAGGTACGCCCGCTTGACATTTTTTATCTATTTTTTAAAAAAATTCAAATTTTCCCTTATTTGGATGGAAGGAGGAGGGGGTCCAGCTCAACAACTTCGGTGTCCATTCAAAAATACTTTCGTACTTGGATTTGATTGTAAAACGGTATTTAATGACATAAAAATGATAGATACATTTGCAGTTTCCAAAGACATTACAGTTTTTAAAGTCACTAAACTCTGTCGACTATTTTCTCGATAGTGTTTCCTTGGACACCAAGCCACTGCACCGTCTTCAATTCAATCGCAAATATCTCATCGATTTCCGTTCATGAAGGATGGGTATTTTTTTTATCATATCAAAAGCAATTTAGCAGGCTTTAAGATTAAATCAATAACTCCATATGCCCAAAATTTGACGAGCGCCTGATTCCACCGCATCATGACATATTATTTCGAAAAGGCGTAATATTATCAGACTAGGTTATCTTAAACACATGAGTTAAGTTATATTATATAGTACGATTTTTACTGCACTTCAGCACAACTAGATAGTATAAGTACCGACGATTATAGAGAAACAAGCAAAGAAAAGGAGGAGAAGAAGAAGTAAAGACGATACTTACGTTTGATTTTAGTTTGTTTAGTTTTAGTAAGGTTTTACGGCGTTCGCAAATGAAAAAGGTCATATGAGCGCCAAGGGGTGGATATCAACAGAGAAGTCCAGACTGGTAAATCAGGCTTACTCTGCTCACCTCTCAAGCCTCAACAGAACAAAGTCTGCTTC